CCCCCCCCCATCTATAAAGCATAGCAAGGAGGTGTTCTGTAGTTAACCTATTGATCACATGACCGGGATCCACGGGTAGCTGTGAAAGGAATAATGTTGGTGGTGATATTTCTGTAGGTAGTGATCTGAACTGTGTACCGTCACTTGTATCCTGCAGAAACTCCTGGAGGAACACAACCTCATCCTGCAAGGGAAGATATCCACACTTGAGGATCAGTTGAAGAAGATGATGGAAAGCGAACAGATCGAGAAAGGGGAGAGCATGGGCGACGTCCTGAGGGTAAAACAAACCAACAGCGTCAGTGCTCAGGAACTGTTTATATACATATTGCGGGCTGCTGTAAAGGTAACATCTAGGGATGCACCAATACCGTTTCCGAGTATTTGGGTGAGTACTCGTACTTGCCCAAATGCTCCGATACCGGAATTGCTGGTCAGAGGAAGATTTCCTCTATCAGTGCCGCGGGGGAACATGGAGCTGGCTTCCCGGGCGGCGGGTAATGACCCACCTCCTGGTTTCCTGTTCGGCCGGGAAGCTGCCTCGATGCTGATTGGCCAGGAAGCCGACTTTCCAGCCAAACAGCTTCCCGGGCAATCAAGAAGACAGGTGGCGGGTAATGACACGCTGCCTGGCTTCCTAATTGTCCGGGAAGCCGGCTCCACGCTGGCGGAAGTAACGCTATGGAAGAATACAGAAGGATAAATATCGGTATCCGTACTCATTATCGAAAAACCGGTATCGGTGCACCCCTAGTAACAACCCCTGGCCAAAATCTACTTGCCGCATTTATGTAGTCCTCCATATACTTCTATGAGATGGTCTCTGTAGCCTGACGGCGGTCTCGTAGCTATCTCGGGTTGGGAAGCTGATTCCTACACCGCTGGCCGGCCTCCTGTGACGGTAATGACAGCTATCACCGCCCCCACACACTGCCGCTCTCCCGATCTGTCAGAGGAGGCTGAGCGAGCGGTGCAGGGAGGAGATCTCGAGCTGACGGCTGACTCCTCCCCCGCACAGCAGCCCTGTGACAGATCTAGAGAGCGACAGCTGTCATTACAGTCACAGGAGGCTGAGTGGTGCAGGAAGGAGAGCGGAGAGGTGCGAAAACACGGATGCACCACTATTTTGGTCAATACGTTTTCGGCGGCCGAAATATCGGTGCATCCCTAATCAATGCACTTTGGTGAAAGCTTTTGTGTGAAGGGTTCTAATCTATTTCTTTAATGCATTTCTTTCTCGTTGATTGTCAACCTACAAAGTTATCCTGTTGCCTACAGGAGGATTGGAGACTGGCGACCCCCCCCCCCCCCCCCCCAACCCGCTGCTTCCCGCCA